CCCCGTTGCAAATCCGCTCGCGAAAAGTACACACTCAGGCCCTGTTTACACTGTCTTTGTTTTTAAATGGCATTTTAGAAAGACAACGATTTGACATCCACAGTGGCGTGTAGCATTTCTGAGCAGCTCTCCTTCCTCTCTACCTCTGAAACATCACGTGACCACACAGACACAGACGCACACAGCCATATGAGCTTGAGACAGCAGGTCCAGGCAGTCAGAGGACTGCTTCAATCTTTCACTCACTTGTACTTAGTCATTTTAGCGAACACCTCAGATACTGTTGGCTGGTTCCTGTTGGTTGCGCGTCTTTTTTACCGACGCCATTATAACAACACAGATCACTGCCTATTCACGAGTCCCGCAGAAAAAGTGATTGACAGGTGGTAATTATGTGTGTATCTTGCCTTTATTCATTTACTGTATGATTTGTTTATGGGTAAAACAAAGACCACGCAGGTCAGGTAGTTTAAACAGTAGGCTAAAAAAAAATTAATTGGTCATTAATTAATTATTCATAATCGAAAATCGAATCGTGCTTTTAGAATCGAAAATGTAATCGAATCGAGGATTTGGAGGATCGTGACACCCTTAGGATCAATACTTTTTCCGGCTCTAAACGCGAATGATTGGCCCGTGATGAATGAGTGACCCAGACCCGATAGAGGACTCGAGGGGTAATCGGATCAATTCTTTTTTTCTGGCTCTAAACGCATATGATTGGCTTCTGCCAATGTGATGAAGACTTGAAATTAACGATACCACCTGCACAAATGTGCGCAGTCTGCGCACGCGCAGATGAACGAATCACTCCCTGAGAGGACTCGTAGTTCCTGAGTCATATTGAACATTCGTTTAAAATGAACGAATCGTTTATGAACGATCCATTACTAATGGAGACACAGTGGATAGCAACGCAGTCTCTTGCCCTGTCTATTTCAATCATTAGCCCTGCAGGTTATCTGGAGGATTTTATAACAAGTGCGAACAAAGCAGTACAGATATAGACATTGTGCCTGAATGGTAACAAACTCAACTGATAAATGACAAAGTCCACCCTTCTACAATTCTCGTACAGCTCTCCCGGCAAAAATGCTTGCTGCAAACCAACAGCTTTGCTGTATCATCACCCGGACAGCATCGCAAGAAAAAACATGCAACAACCCATGCGCGGTCGCACCCAGTCATTGGGTCTCATAGCTCGGCAGGTCTGCCTTCCCTTCAGAAAGCATGTGCTCTCATGAATAATTAAGAAGCCGGCTCTTCTCATGGGATAAGAAAACTTTGCTATGAATAATAATGAGAAACCGACGTGTCATCACTTTACTTGCAGTTTTGCACTAAGTCGCCGATTTTGATCCCGCCCCAAGTAATTTTTTAATAATTTTTATTTTGAAGCTGAAATCAGCTGACAGAAGCTCAAAATTATGCAGTTTTCCCCACAAAATAAAGCTGACAGGTGCTAACGTCGTCTTAACTGATGCTCAACACACACAAATCTGTTAACATCTCAAAAAAAGTACTCCAGGGGGTCTTGAACTTTTAAGCTTTTCCGAATTTTACGAAGTCAAAGTATCTCTCATACATTCCCACAGTTTGAATATGCAAACGCACTGCAGTCGCACAGCTCTGGTGGAGATCAGGAAGCAGCGAGATTTCGATTTTAAACACCTCTCACTGTTCTGCAACCTGCAACACACACCCACTCACACACACACAGCCTGACCTACATCTTCATCTGCAGTGTGCAAAAAAACTCTCATGGCAGGCTAAGTTATATTTAAATTTATGCGAAAATATATATATTATCGTCACATATGGTGAGGTTATGCTCATGTGTATTATGTGTTCAGGTATGCTGAAAACAACAATAGTGGACTACAGGACTGTAAGTGATGTCATTAAAACTGAAACAAACGACTTCAGCTTCATTCATTCATTGTCTTGTCGGCTTAGTCCCTTTATTTATCTGGGGTCGCCACAGCGGAATGAACCGCCAACTTATCCAGCACGTTTTTTCACACAGCGGATGCCCTTCCAGCCGTCTCTGGGAAAATGACATCAGCTTGTAACACCTAAATGGATTAGGTGTTTTCAACTTAATTTCTTACAGTTTTAAGTAATAGATTAAAGGGATAGTTTGTGGAACTTAATTATTTTAGGTGTAACAAGTTTGAAGTGAGGGCTGCACGGTGGTGAAGTGGGTAGCATGTTCGCCTCACAGCAAAAGGGTCGCTGGTTCAAGCCTCAGCTGGGTCAGTTGATGTTTATGTATGGAGTTTGCATGCTCTCCCCGTTTGTTTGGGTTAACAAATATCGATAGCGCTTTTATCACCCAGCCCTAATTCAAAGTACCAATAACTTTCTCAAAATATTTCAAGAGTTCACACTTAGCTGATGATTTATAAAAGCTTGTTTGGCATGCTGTCCCGGAAGAGAGCCCCGAGCTCAAGGGATCCTCAAGCCCGGGGCTTTCTCCCGTTGGCAGAGCGAGAGGGGAGCCTGAGCTCGGTGGATCTCAGAACTCCCCGACTGCGGTAGTTAAGGGAACAGAGGGGTTAGACAAATGCTTGTTATATGTATTGAATGTCTTTGGATGGTGGGAGGAAACCGGAGAACCCGGGGAAAACCTACGCGGACACGGGGAGAACATACAAACTCCTCACAGAAACACCCACCGGCCAGTGTTCTTGCTGTGGGGCTCGCAGTGCTAACCACTGGGACGCTGTGCTGCCCAATCAGAGGTAAAGGAGGAGAATAGGGGAGGAGGGGGGTTTCTTCCAAACGAAGATAAAATGAGCTGAAAACTGTGGTTATTTATAGTAGCTTAGGGCTCATGTGATTGGAAGATAGTGATTAGCAAATACGGGACCGGCCGTGATAAATCATAAGCAAGTGATCGTCTCGAAATTAGTTTATGAATAGACTTCACTTAAAGTAACTTAAACGGATGTGGGCGAAGCAGTGGCGCAGTAGGTAGTGCTGTCTCCTCACAGCAAGAAGGTCGCTGGGTCGAGCCTCGGCTCAGTTGGTGTTTCTGTGTGGAGTTTGTATGTTCTCCCTGCGTTTGCGTGCTCCGGTTTCCCCCACAGTCCAAAGACATCCGGTACAGGTGAATTGGGTAGGCTAAATTGTCCGTAGTCTATGAGTGTGTGTGTGAATGTGTGTGTGGATGTTTCCCTGAGATGGGTTGCGGCTGGAAGGGCATCCGCTGCGTAAAAACTTGCAGGATTAGATGGCGGTTCATTCCGCTGTGGCAACCCTGGATTAATAAAGGGACTAAGCCGACAAGAAAATGAATGTATGAATAAATAAACGGATGTTTCGACAACGAAGCTGTCAATTAAGGACCAAAGAGCTCTCAGATTTCATCTAAAATATCTTCAATCGTGTTTTTAGAAGGTGAATAAATAATTGCCACAACACAGGAGTGAGAAATTGATAGCAGAATTGACTTTTTTGGATGAACTAACCCTTTTAACAGTCTGACAACACAAACCAAACTCTTTCCTTCAGCTTGAAAGTCAAAGTAGACAACCTATGAAGGCCATAGACTGAGGCATAGACTTCAGGAAGTAAGACTGAAATTACTGATGACTTGTTTCAGTCTTTTTCAGAATCAGTTCTTTCTTTCAGAGGACAATAGAGTACGCCAAAACCAGGAAGACTACCACTAATTCACCACTGGTCTCCTTTGGATTTTCCTGTGGGAATTTCTAACGCAATTTTACACTTACGAGTGAAATGAGGTCTGTGGTAAACATAACTTGACGATACTGAAACAATGTTAACTGCATACATTCACACCCAAAGCGTTCATTCATTCATTTTCCTTCAACTTAATCTTTTATTTATAAGAGATCACCACAGTGGAATGAACTGCCAACTTATGCAGTACAGGATATGTATATGTTTTATGCAGCAGAAGCCCTTATAGCTGCAACCCATACACTGTCACATTTACACATTATCGTCAATTTAGTTCATCCAGTTCACCAGTACCGCATGTCCTTGGACTGTGAAGGAAACCGGAGCACCCGGAAGACACCCACTCAAATGGAGAACATGCAAACTCCATAAAGAAATGCCAACCGGCCAAGCCGGGACTCGAACGGGACTGCTAACCACTGAGCCACCGTTGGGGTGGGGGGTACCCCTTATTATGGTGGGCATATCCCTTATTTTCACACCACATCCCAATGTTGACAGGTATGCCCCAAACCCCCCTGTAATTCACACCCTGGATGTATTACACATTGTATAAAACATAAATAAACCAATGTTCAATAAATAATACAATTATTTACAGTAAAAAATAGCACAGATAATAGCCCAAACATTTTCCCGCCAATTCAAATACTGTAGTTTATGGTTGCATAGCAACTGGCGCATTAATACATAATATTAGGAAACAAGTATAATTTATCATGAACCACGTTCGTCAAATGCGAATAAAGACTTGGAATTACTGTTTTATGAATTCATATGGGCGTCTGCAGTCCAGTACAGACATTATCATAACAATAAATGACTAATGTTTTGCTTTTGAGGGAGGTCAAAACAGAATAAAACGACTAACGTTAACCGAAATGTACTGTATTCAACAGTTTGTACAGCATTTCCGTACAGCAAGGCAGTGTGTCAGTGACAGCAAAGATCACAATGTTCCCGGTGAACGCCTATACAGCCTACTATACCATAAAACAGGTAACCTATGGATACGGTAACATGGAGTTACAATGACGTCGTGCTATATCATTTTGTACTGTATAAGATAATAAAAAGGACCCAAATTATGAGATTATATTATATATACCGTTCCATTACTTATGACAGCAGTTAACTAACGTCATATTTACAACGATTTTTCAATAATAGCCAAGCTAATCATCCCAATAAGGATGTTTCATTAAGATTGTCTGCTATATTGCTGAATGTGAAGTTGATTTCTGTGTGCTGATGAACTGATATGAATGACAGCATGAAGAAGCTCGTCTTACCGCCCGGTGCTGATGCTGATTTTCGAGGCTTGGCTGATGATCAATGCGGTAAATGATCCACCTGCGCCGAACATCAGATGAGTCGATCCTCCGGCAGAGTGAACAGAAAACCGGCGCACGTACACAGACAGCATGCGGTACACTTCACACGCACACCAGAGGTCTTTCTTTGTGTCTTTTCTGCTTGTAAATGACAGCAGTGCTCGAGAGAAGGAGGAAACCCCTTGAATGAGGCGGAACACTCCCACTGTGCGCCCGGCGGGTCAGAGTGAAAAACGGAGAAACAGCGCCGCCTGTGTGTCGGTATTGGGTAATACAACTTCTATAGCCATGTGATTCATTTTTCACGTTTCCAGATGCCTCAGTGGTGTTAGATTTAAAATAAAAATAATAAATTTTTGTTATCTACCTGTACTGTAAAGTTTAAACCCAGTACTTTAGTTCAGTTCTTCCAGAGTGTTTTGTTTTAAAAGACGTAAACATACACTCACCGGCCACTTTATTAGGTACACCTTACTAGTATCGGGTTGGACCCTCTTTTGCCTTTAGAACTGCCATGGCACAGACTCAACAAAGTCCTACTGCAAATTTTACTTAGAGATCAGAGTTGCTGCAGATTTGTTGGCTGTACATCCGTGATGCGAATCTCCCGATCCATCACATCCCAAAAGTGCTCTATTGGATTGAGTTCTGATGACTGTGGAGGCCATTTGAGAACAGTGAACTCGTCGTCATGTTCAAGAAACCAGTCTGAGATGATTCGTGCTTTATAACATGGCGCATTATCCTGTTGGAAGTAGCCATCATAGCTGACAGGAGTGGCACCGGTGTGATCTTCAGCTCTTCCCAGGTGAAAAGAAAGTGTACTTAAGCTGTATTTTTTGACGTAATTATCATATTTTGATAATACTACACTAAGCGGATATTAAATGTGTTATTTTGGAACAACTTTAAGCATATTAATTGTTATTTTATTTATACTTAACATTAACTTTAAGCTATTGGTAATATGTTGTAACATACTTAGTTGTGTTAAAATGGACATGCTTTAACTACAATCAAAGAGTACTTTTAAAACTGTATTTTGTTTGAAGTACATTTAAATGATATATTTAAAATACAGTTAAAGTATATTTTTAACACAGCTAAAGTTTATTTTTAGGGGCAACACTTTACAATAAGGTTCATTAGTTAATGCATTTACTAACATGAACTAATCATGAACAACACATGTACAGCATTTATTAATCATAATTGAACATTTACTAATGCATTATTAACATTAATGCACCTTGAGTTAACATGAACTAACAATGAACTACTGTATTTCAAAAACTAACGTTAACTAACATGAACAAATACAGTAGTAAATGTATTGTTCACTGTTTGTTCATGTTAGTAAATGCATTAATTAACATTAACTAATGAACCTTATTGTAAAGTGTGACCATTTTAGGTTTAGATGTGTATTTTTAGCCCAGCTGCAGTGCATTTTAATACCAGTTAAAGTATAGTATAAGCCCAGTTGAAGTATACTTTGAGTTCAGATGAAGTATATTTTCAGCACAGCTGAAATGCATTTTAAAACTAGTAAAAGTGTATTTTAAGCCCAGCTGAAAAATATTCTAAGCTTCACATTAATAAGCCAAACAAGCTTATAATCAATCATTAGCTAAGTGTGAACTCTTGAAGAAAGCATTTAAAAAAACTCACAGAAATGATGAGTAGGGCTTCAGTTTGATTCACAAGATTTTATTTGAACAATTAGCCAACAATATATACAAGCAATTCATTACAAAACAATTCAAACAACTCAATTATACAGCAATCTGACAGAACACCAAGTCATTTATGAGGTAGAAAGAAAGTTGAGCAGATCTTTGATGACACTTTAGAGGAGATAACTATGACAGCACTGGATTTCCTAATGAAATCTTCATCTTCATTTCTATAGAGCTTTTACAATGTGGATTGTGTCAAAGCAGCTTAACATACAAGTAAATTAAAACAATGTCAGTCCAGTTGTCATAGTTGAAGTTCAGTTGAGTTCAGCGTGGTTTAAACTTCACTGCTGAAAGTCCAAACACTGAAGAGCAAATCCAACAACGTGCAGCTCCACAAGTCCCAACCAAGCAAGCCAGTGGCGACAGTGGCGAGGAACAAAACTTCACTAATAGTGAAGGAAAAAAACCTCGAGAGAAACCAGGCTCGGTTGGGCACGACCATTTCTCCTGTGGCCAAAGGTCTTGTGCAGAGCTGCAGTATTTAATCACCATTATTGTCATTAATTACTCACCTCATGTCAGTTCATATTCATGTTTAGTTCATATTGAAAACACAAATTAAATCCTTTTAGATAAAATCCGAGAGCTCTCTGACCCTTTTATCTTTATTTCTAATATTTCTAATGTAGATTGTGTCAACATATAAGTTCTAGTAAATTAAAACAGTGTCAGTCCAGTTTTCAGAGTTGAAGTTCAGTTCAGTTCAGCGTGGTTTAATTTTCACTGCTGTAAGTCCAAACACTAAAGAGCAAATCCATCGAAGCGCAGCTCCACAAGTCCCAAACCGAGCAAGCCAGTGGAGAAGAGTAAAACTTCACCAATTGACTAAAGTGAAGGAAAAAACCTTGGGAGAAACCAGGCTCAGTTGGGCACGACCATTTCTCCTCTGGCCAAACTTCTTGTGCAGAGCTGCGAGGCGTCAGGGCTGGAGAACCCTGGACGTCCATCATGGAGAAGCTGCAGGTGTCCAAAATGACACCAAAATGAAAGCACAGTGCACTGCGTGTCGCACTGCTGACGTATAACCCAAAAGCCTGCGCGACTTCCTCTCATTTAAACAAAACACGGGCACATCCGAGGTAAACGTCAGCAGTGCGACACGGATACAGTGCAGGACAGAGCTCTCATGGTTTGATGAAGTTTTTGGTTCCTTTTCTGGAACGTCTCTGCATGCTTGAGGTATATGGAGGATCAGAGAGTTCTCGGATTTCATCTCAAATAAGAGGAAGGTGTCAGGGGTTTAAAGCTACTGCTGTCATTTTGAAGTGAAACTTCTTTTATGCAGAAAGAAAAACACAAAAATATTAAAACTAAAATAATAACTACAGAAGTCCTGTACTGCACTGTGTGTGTGTCGCACTTGGCATAACCCAGAGGCCTGCGCGACTTCCTCTCATTTAAACAAAGCGTGGGCACATCCAGGTATATGTTAGCAGTGCGTCACGCATACAGTGCAGGACAGAGCTCTCTCAAACACACGCCATGAACTGACACTGAAGAAAAGTAAGGTCTTAAGGGTTTGGAATGACATGAGGGAGTAATTAATAACTTAATAATAATAATTTCTGGTGCTCTTAATAGTGCTTTCCTCTTCTTGGCAACTGTATAGTTCTAAAATGAAGAACAAGAAGCAGAAATAACACAAAGTTTTTAAAGCAGTGATATGAAGGGCTGTCAAATAAGACAAAAAAGAACAAAAAAGGAAACAACAGGAATAGCAAGAACCAAAGACAGAATATAGAGATGTAGTTTTGTGCTCGGTGTGTTGCTCTACCTCCTCTTGTGTCACTGCTGCACAGCATCTGGGCTCGTTGTATTGAACCACCGGTGCACTTCAACCTGATGTAACTGTATTCGCATAACTGGATTGCGGACCAAACACTGGGAGATCAGGTCCTTGCATGCTGAAAAGTGTCGTCACAGAGAGAGTGTGAAATATGTCTGCATACTCAAGATTCATGTTTAAATCTTACTACATCAAATGTTACAAAACATCCACAATTAAATAACTTTAATATCTACTGTAACCCTTAAATTTAATCCTTTTTACATATTTTATTCTGTCACTGAGGCTAAGATTGTGCTTACCTGAAGATAAGGTGGGGTCCATGCGAAGGCCTCCACCCATTATCGTTGGTCTGTCGTAAAAGGGCAACCGTCTATGCAATATTTCAAACAGCACGATGCCTATCGCCCAGACATTTGCCATGGTAGGGGAGAATTTGCGATGCATTAAAACCTCAGCTGGCGTGCAACGTCTAGCTCCTGTAAGAGAGACATTTTCAGAATTCAGTCATTTCATCAGGCAATACTGTGATCAAAGACACTTGACACAAAATGCCCACTCACCTTGATAATTATAGCTGAAGAAAGGCCTACGGGTGACTGGCCAAGCACAACCGAAGTCGATCAATTTGAGCTCTAACTGGGGTGTAGTCACCAGGATGTTCTGCGAGTGTATATCACCATGGAAAACTCCACGTTCAACGCAGAACTTGACAGCTTGGACCAACTGACGCATTAACCGGCGTGCTTTGTTTTCATCCATGTCCGATGTCTTTTTGATGTAACGACCCAAAGTCTGGCATGACTCTGGGTACTCCAAAATGAGAATGCATTCGCTCTCATTCTCAATCCAGTCATGTAATCTGATGATGTTCGGACATTGCGGAGCTTTCATCAACCTACGCATGATTGCCACTTCTGCAAGCACAGGTTTGGAATGACCATCCTAGAAAAAAAACAACAGATTTCAAAGATATTACCAAAGCAGAATGGCACAAAGAAACAAAAAACCTTTTTTTAATTATGAAGACAAATATAAAAAATACAAGAGAATAAAAATATCCAAATGAAACAGTCTTATTAAAGCTACTAAATCATTTAGTCAAGAGCGATGAGTGATTCCTTCCTTGTCTTTTTTGGTTTAATTAAAGGGCCACAAAACTCCTGTTTCAGCAGGGTGTTTTCACACCTCTAGTTTGAAAAAAATCAGGAAAGCGGTGGAGACCAGTTTTGTTTAGGTGGGAGTGTCGAGACAGAAAAGGAGGGAAGGGTTTGCGTCAAAAAGGGAGTTTCAGTTCAGGCACGCGCTGATTTTTACTGAGGCAAAACTTGGCAAATTATCCATTTGTCGGCTTTAACTTCAGTTTGGCACTTCCACTTTCATTCAGGAACATTGCCCCCCATGACAAATGAAATATTGGATGCGAGGAACTGCTGGAAGAGTGTAGTTTTAATGAAATGGGAGAAGAAAAAACCTCCACATTTCTCGGTAACTTGGTAGGTAGGGTTAGAAAGCAGTGTGTGTATAAACTATCCTGTAACAAAATGCGGCGAAAATTCGACACGACGGTAATAGTTTGATTAAGGTGTTTACATTCCAAGAGCAGCATTTACAGCGGATCTTTCTGTTCATAATATTGTATTGATATTACAATAAACTTAGTAACTAAATAATTTTGACTAAGGTCCGTATTTAAAAATGGAAAGAGTACTGCTGACGATACGAGCTAACTTTGCTGTCTGAATAAACAAACAAAGACCCCTGAACGCTCACTTACCAAATCTGTCGAGACTAGACAATCATTAATAACTGGAACTGCGTCTTTTTTAAAAGGAGACGAGCAGCAAATCTGTATTTCACCATTTCCAGATGTGAAAAGCTCTCAGGTAAAAATGTTCCTTACATATATATTTCTGTTGCGTGTTAGCAGACCACTGTAATCCACACGTGAGTCCAAGTGTGCTCTCATAGCGGGGAATTGAAAACAAAACCTTCGTTGCAGCACATTTATAAACGCAACACTGACGACACATGCCTCTCTGCCGTCTGAACTTGGTTTGAACCAAGTCAAAGACATCATGTTATAACCGCTGGTACAGACATCCAGTTTACATGCTGAAATACACTTAAGGATCTAATCGTTGTGATGCAGCTTCAAAATTTCGAACTGGATTAACGAATTTGTTCGAAATAACGCAAAAACAGCAAAATTTCACTTTTTAGTAAAATATACGTGTCCTAATAGTGTTTATAACAGTGTGGGACACTTATTTGACTGTCAACATCTAAAAAACATGTGTTTTGGTGTTTCGTGAACTTTTGTGAACACTTTCCTGTTCATTCAGAACTCTGTGTTCATTTATTACATAACAGACTAGGTTTATGTAAATAATCACTAAGCTCCATGTTTTGACACATTTGTGCATGTATTTGAGCATTTAGTCATGCAGTTTGGGCTAAAGGGGACTCTACATGTGTGTGTTCTGTCCGTCTCTGAGGCTGAGCACACACACAACAGCACACACTCTCTTCAGCACTGTTAAATAAATCAGCATTTGAATAAAGAATAAAGATGAATAAAGCACATCCCATGCTGCAAAAGTCACGTTACATAATTTCACCGATTTCCACGTGTAACTGAGCGTAGAAATGAATGCAGACTGCTTTACAAGGGGCTATGGGGGATATGACGCAATGATCATTTTTATCTCCATTTATGTTACAAATTATTTTCATTCATGTGTTCAAAACTTGTCTCTGGGTTTCTTCTACTGAACACAAAAGAAGATATTTTGAAGAATGTTGAAAACCTGTTAAGCATTGACTCTCTAAAGTATTTTCTTTTTCTACGATGAAAGTCAGTGGCTACTTGTTTCCACCATATCTGCTTTTGAACTCAGTTTCAAGTGGTCCAGACAGGTACGGGACAAGTGAAGGATGAATTAATGGTCAGCACATTTTCATTGATGTGTAAATTGTTCAACTTACAATCTTGAGATAACGGTCATGGCTTTGCTTGATGATATACTTCAGGGCAACCTGCAAGAAAAAAAAATGGTACATTTTTCAGAATAAACATCAAATTGACGCCTATAATTTATTCATATTTAATAATAATCTGGATAAAAATATTGTTTGAATCTTAGAAATACTTCTCTACCTTTTCTTTTTCACTTGATACGTCAGACGCCAAATACACCTGGCCAAAAGCTCCTTGTCCAATCATGTTTCTGACTTTAAAATGAGACACCACAGATCCTGAAAAACACACAGAAAAAGAGCAGGGAGATTTACTTGGATTGTCTGATGTGAAACGGATCAAATAAACGACTCCTATACTTTGAATCTGGATCTAATGCAATGAGCAGTAACTTTCATAAGAATTGCAGGAGTAAAGTAATTACTCATTTATATTAATTATGAATTACAGGAAATGGAAGGTAATGATGACTTACCAACAGTGAGATCAAAAGGCTTGTTAGGTTCATCAGAAACCTGGCCTGGCAGACAGACTGACTCAGGGTCAGCTGGATCTGCAATTCCAGGCGTAACTTTAACAGGCACTGCTTCATCCTCAGGCTCTGGCTCTGGTTCTGGCTTTGGCTCAGGTTGTGGTGTAAGATGCTGGACTTTATCTGTGTCACAGCACAGGAAAGGGCGCATTACAGCCTTCCATACTCTCTTGAAGAAAGCAGAGACTCTTTTCCCTTTCCTTCCTTTCTTGGGTTTTTCTAAAATGAAGAAAGCAAACAGAAACATCTCCATGAGCAGAGCTGCAGCTAATAATTAATACACAACCAATAGTACAACAAGTGACACTGTCTGATGTTTAAGCTAAAAACAACAAAGCATGAAAAATGACAGATGGCAGAAATAAAATGAACCAAATTCAGGAGGACTCACCATCAGTCCCATCAATTTTAGAGGGGTCTTGAACAGACGGAGGCGACTCAGGACAGGCCGAATCTGCATCCGTCATTGTCTTAATATTGGAGGGGCCATGGACACTGATTAGCCGAGGATCTTCACAGATCTGGCCTGGCAGCTCAGTATCAACATGACCCGTGAGGGCCGTTGAGGATTCAGGACGGGCCGGATCTGCATTCAGCACATCATGCTTGATCCTGGAGGGGCCCGGAACACTCAACGACTGAGAGTCTTCACAGATCTGGACTGGCGGACGCATCTGCTCAGGGTCAACATGATCTGCGATGGTCGTTGGCTTGATCTTGGATGTTCCTGGAACAGCTAACGACTCAAGACGGTCGCAGACCTGGACTGGCGGACGCACAAGCTCAGGGTCAACATGACCTGTGAGGGCCGTCGAGGACTCAGGACGGGCCGGATCTGCATTGATCCTGGAGGGGCCCGGAATACTCAACAGCTGGGGATCTTCACAGACCTGGCCTGGCAGCCACACCGGCTCAAGGTCTGCATGTGCTGCGACGGTCCTGGAAGGACCTGGAACAGGCAGGTGCTCGAAATCGTCGACTTCTGACCGTGGTTCAAAGGGAACCACTCTGCTCCGGTCACAGCAAAGGAAAGGGCGCTTCACAGCCTTCCATGCTCTCTTAAAGAAAGCAGAGGCTTTATTCCCTTTCCTTCCTTTCTCTGGGTTTTCTAAAGTAAAGAAAATGAACAGGGAAATGTTAGAAAACTCTTTAACCACAGGTTTAAAATAGACAAACTGCTGTAAGTAGACATATCAAGACAATCACACACAAGAAACAACAAAAATAAAATGTACAATTATAATAGAAAATGTTTGAAAACTAAAATTACGTGAAATTGCAAAGACAAATACAACCTGATAAATAGTCCGTAAGTCATGAGTCCATATTAGACATAAATAGGGCCAGACGGAATCTGCGCTCACTTTCTGCTATGTCTGCACAGAATTTTGTTTAAAAATCTGCAGATTTTTGCTAAATGATTTTGGGACTATCATAACTAAAATCTTAATATAAGAACTAAAAAGTAACACATTTTTAACTTGTATTTAATGTTTACAATGCAAAAAGCATTTGTTACAAACAAAGCAAGTCTCTCATATAATTTATTTACTAAATGACAGAAAATATTACTGTACAAACTGTATTGTAAATAAATCATATAAATATTTTCACATTAGTCAACGATATTACTGAAATTAATTTAAAAACTGAATAAATTTACATTTACACAAGTAAATAAACTGAATCAATAATGAGTGTGCAGACGCCGTGTGGGCCTAGACATAAGGAAGAAATCCTACAAGCAAACATTTTGCAAAATCAACATTTCACTCCTGCTCAAACAAAATGCAAACTATTATAATAATTCATTTTTGAGTAAATATTCTTTGAGTTTTACCAGTTACAGTTTGAGCTATTTAACATTCACCATCACAATGTTTAATCTGATGTACAGTTAAAATCAGAATTATTAGCCCCTCTTTTTAAAATATTTCCCAAATGATGTTTAACAGGGCAAGGAAATTTTCACAGTATGTCTGATAATATTTGTTCTTCTGGAAAAAGTCTTGTTTGTTTTATTTTGGCAAGAATAAAAATCTTAGAACAATATTATTAGCCCCGTTAAGCTATATTTTTTTTCAATAGTCTAAAGAACAAACCATCATATACAATAATTTGCCTAATTACCCTAACCTGCCTAGTTAACCTAATTAAGCCTTTAAATTTCACTTTAAGCTGTATAGAAGTGTCTTGAACAATATCAAGTCAAATATTATGTACTGTCATCATGGCAAAGATAAAATAAATCAGTTATTAGAAATGAGTCATTCAAACTATTATGTTTATAAATGTGTTGAAAAAATCTCTCTGTTTAACAGAAATTGGGCACAACAATAAAGAGTGGAGCTAATAATTCTGACTTCAACTGTTTGTAGGCCTTTTTTTGGCCAGTGGGTGCTACATCTACATTCTTACACTTCTCCTCCACAAAAAAAAATAAAAACTAATGAAAATAAATCAACATTATTTTCATCTTTCCATTAGCAATCATCAAACTCAAAGTGAACAATTTCTCTTGCTCTGGATCTTCGGTTCAGAAATCTGTGAGTAAATTATAACAAAACATTTAACAATAAGTCTTAGAAATCCAAATGAAAATCTTGCTCTTGCAACCCAGGAAGAGAAACAGAGTTATAGACATGTTTTAATAAAATCTGCACAAAATAAAGACTTAAATATAATATTCTCACTCAGTTTGCTGAAATAGCACAAATATTTATCCATCAAAAACAAAACCTAAGAAAATTACTGAGTGGGTTTATGTGAAAAATTATGACATTAAAATGTTGAAACTTCAAAAATGAGAAACTTTAAAAGCCAGAATGTCAATACCATATAATGAGAGCAGGGCTACTGCTCTAACTACACGAAGCAATTACAATCACGATTGGTTGCATATTTGCCTCTCAAGTCGGTAAGCTTAAGTGGCGATATATAATTATTATTTTAACTTTACTTTTTATTACATTTTACGTGGAAATACATCGTGTTTGTGAACTCTCATCTCACCTGTTGGACTTCTCATCGTGGTAGAAGGTGTACGAGAAGCCATCGTGTCACTTTGATGATTATCGTTGACAAAGTCAGTCGTGATCGTTTTAACTCGATTAAAAAACACAGTCGACGTGTTATTTGCCATTTGAGATGCAAAACAAGTCGCTAAAGTCGTTAAATCACTGTTCACTGTACTCGTTCGTTTGTCACTCTGATGGAATTCTAAACTGCTGTCCCGTGACGTAACATCATTCGAATTCGTTCTATTTATTTGTCATTGTTGACGCGTGCTTGTAAGGAGCACAGTACATGTTCATATGCTAATGAATATTAGCCTATATTACAAGTCAAGTTTAAATAACTGCTTTCCTATGTTTGTTGTTTTAAATAAATTATTAGTCCAGTCATTATTGCTTTTATTACTATTACCATTAATAATAATAATCATAATATTATTAATAATAATTAATATTAGAAGAAACATTAACTCTGAAGACTGGAGTAATTAAGCTGAAAATGCATCTTTAACCTCCTAGGGCTTAGTGGCCACATACGTTTACAGCACATTTTAGCTCTTAAGTGGCTATTTAAAATACATTGAATGTTTTATATTTTGTTACAGACATACAGTGTCATCCTGCAACTGTTTTGCAGCAAATGAAATGTCCCAAACACTATATTTAACTGTACAAAATGGCCAAAAAATATTGTTTTTTACTCTCTGATAGTCAAAACATGTTCAGAAAATATTTATGTGTTATAAACGCATTAATAACAGTCAGGAAAAAAGGTTTTGTGCGAATTCAAACCACGAGTTCACATATATGGATATCATTTTTCTCTAAAAGTCTCACTTTTCTCTAAAAAATCCAAAGATGATCCTCAGGTTTTTTATTCTAATTAGGTTCCAATAAGTCCAAATAGCAAAGAGAAATAAATAAATGCATGTAAAAAAAAAAACACCTTGGGCCTTAAGAGTCCAGTTAAATTCACTGGAATAAATTATTAAACTAAATTATAAACTACTTTTGAACAGTCATTTTATAGTGCAATATCATTTGACAATTTTACAATGTGTACTGGATTTTTGATGAAATAAATGCAGCCTTGGTGAGCCTGAGAAGCAGATTTTAAAACATTTCAAAATCATACTGATGCCAAACTTTTGACCGGTCAAAATCATTAGCCATTCTTGTTCATATATTCCCAGACCATGAAACTTTTTATTTCCATGAACATTCTTCTGGAGAAAGTCTTATTTATTTTAATATGACTACAGTAAAAGCATTTAAGGTGAATATTACTAGCCTCCTTAAGCATGAACAAGCCACTGTCATATACCATGAGTTGTATTGAGTAAATTAAGAGAAAGAATAATACGTAACAATATTATATAATATACAATTTATTGAGCAGTAAAAACAAACCATATTATCTCCTTTTCTATAATGTAGACTGATATGGAAAAATAGCAAAATAAAGGGGTCTAAATATATTTTAAATGCACTTTCTTCATTATCTAAAACATTTTGTTTTTTGTTTGTCAGACATAGAACATCTATATTTAACCCAGAGACAGCTAGAAGAACATATAATATAAATATAAATATTTATAAAATAAAAAAACATATATACAGATACAAAGATTTAAGGAGTTTTTTTTATTTTTGTTGCATCATTTGGACACAAATATATATGCATGAGTAAAAGCAAGATGTTTATTTATCTCATTCACTTAAGCAAAACTTATTAACTGTGAGATGAACTGTAAAAATTGTTTTATAAAGTTTTAAACAGATTAAGTACTATTTCCTATACCAGGGTTCATACACATTTTAACTACTAAAATTCCATGACTTTTCCATGATTTTTCCAAGACTTTCAAATAAATTTTCATGAGCTATGTTTCATGCAATGCCTACATGTGTCGTAAAAAACAATACCTTTTAAAGTTTATTACAGCATATCATAAAACACGCAACAATCCATATAGTTTCAATTTATATTTATTCTTTCATATATTCATTTCTTTTCGGCTTAGTCCCTTTATTAATCTGGAGTCTCCACAGCAGAATGAACCGCCAACTAATCCAGCATATGTTTTAGGCAGCGGATGCCTTTCCAGCTGCAACCCATCATTAGGAAACATCCATACACACTTATTCACACACATACACTACATACACAATTTTAGCTTACTCAATGCACCTATAGCGCATGTGTTTGGACTGTGGGGGAAACCCAAGCCAACACTGGGAGGACATGCAAACTCCACACAGAGATGCCAACTGACCCAGACGAGGCTCGAACCAGCGATCTTCTTGCTGTGAGGCGATTGTGCTACCCACTGCGTCACCGTGACGCCCAGTTTATATTTATATCTACCTAAAATTTAGATAATGCTTACACCGCACTAATAATGTGAGAGTACACTGTCAAAACATAAAGATATAGAAACCGTCACTGGGGCAGTACCCTTTTAAAAGATACATATGTGTACCCAAGGAGTCCACAGTGGTATCTCAAAGGTACATATTAGTAACTGTACCCAAAAAGTACTTTTGAGGTTCCATTATGGGCCCTTCACGTACAAATTGGTACCTTTTGAAAAGATACAGTCCCAGTGACGGTTCCTGTACCTTTAGTTATGAGAGTGTATGTGATTGGCCAAGAAAGAAGGAATTAAAGATATCTGTTTTCCAAAAACTTTGTGGATTTTTCTGTTTTTCCAGAACTTTTCCAGTTCTGAAAAATGCCATGTCAAAATTCCATGACTTTTCCAGGTTTTCCATGACCATATGAACCCTGCTCTACGTTTAATTCAATCTGTTACTTGTAATTGTGAAATTTGAAAACTGTTCTTACAGCTGTTTTTAGTTCATCCATAAACCAACAAGAAACCAGATTAAGCATCACAAAGTTTCTCACCCCTTTTGCTTCATCATATAACATCATGTAAGAAATATGTGAGCGTCTAACAGGTCTGGATGACAGATTCCGTTGCTCTCCTCTTCTGAAGCGTCATGGATCAGGGCAGGAACATCACTCTCTATGATTTCTGACTTGATTTCATCATGGTTGACAAGACTTAAACGGATGCCCTAGAAAATGTAGATGTGGGTCAAAGAAGAAAGCAGTTGTAAACAGCAAACATAAAAAAGGTTATACAGCTTTAAATTGTGCGCTTATTTCTATACATTAGAATGTGCTGTTTATATCTGCCTAATCTCATAAGGAAACGCAGCTATTTTCAATATTGAGAAACAAAGCTAATTCACACTTAATTTGTATAAAAACGTACAATTTTAAAAAGAAGGTGTGATCTCAGTTCGAGAACTGAGAACAGATGCAAACTAAACTGAAAATGAACTGGCTAGCCAGCTAATCTGGCTTTATGGTAATGGTTTTAATATCCTGATTATACAACATAATAACACATTCATATCTCAGCAGGGTCCGTCATGTTTTTGGGTCCCCTTGAAACATTTCTGTAGTGTTTATTTGCAAGTATTGTGACCAATTTGCTGTGTGTTTTCAGTTTGTGTTGTGACCATGTTGCGACACGTGTGCTGTTAAATTGATGAAGATTATTTTTTTTATTTGCTGGTGTTTTTTGTGATTGCATGTGCAAAATTTTACAATTTTAGTAGGATTCACATGTAAAATATTTCATTTAAAGCGTGTCCAGATAAAAATTGTTGTCTGATAACATTAAAAATAGGGCATTCCACAAGTATATGTTTAACAGTTTGGTTACTTTTGCAATATTGACATTTTGGTGGTTCTTCTCCTTTAAGTAAATGTTCATGTGTAAGTCTTGTGTGTCCAATGCGGCATCTTCTATAAACAATCTAATCGTGTCTAAAAAAATAAATTAGATTTTCTTCCTATTTCTGGATGAATTTCAAAAAGTTTGTTTTCTGAGCATTGATCTCATTCTGTTTGCCATTTGCTTAGAATACAGCCTTTTATCAGTGGCTTTAGATCTTTAGATCTGATTTTGCAATCCTTTAGCTTTTCTGTAGGGCTGTTTCGGCAGGTTTGTCTGCTTGCTCAGTTATAAATCAAATGAATAGGTTGTGGATAAATTTGGAGAAAACTCATGGAAACATTTGATGAAAATGTTCTCTGGTAATTATTTCCGCCATCTTGCCAACAACATCTCGTTGTGACATCTCACATGGTTCAATGGGATCTCGATAACTGCATGTTACGCCTCTAACTTACTACAAGTTATGCCCCTTCATGTTATGCCCCCGTCTTGCAGTCCGCAGACAGATACACTTGGTGTTTGGAGTAAACCCAGCCCTTTTGGACAACGTGCACGCTGATGTCAGGATGCTAATGGCGTACTCACACTATGCTATCAGAACTGTGCCCAGGCCTGTTTCCCGGATCGTTTGACAACTGTGAGTGCTCTGAATCTGGCTAAGGGCGGCCTTGGCCCGGTTGGAAGAGGTGTGCCAGAGCGTGGTTCACTTGGGCCCGAAACTAAAGACGAGACGTGACTTTTAAGGGACTGTTTCATATGGATTTATTAATCGTTATTACTATTCAATGAACGCAAACTGTCGTAGATTACTAAAGACGCAAACCCCTCACTGCACAACAGCTGCACCCTCAGCAAACCTCCTAATTCCTGCAGCACGAGGACTTTATGATTGTTTATGAGTGTCAAAAGTGGATGATCTGTTCGGTGAAATATTTGACTGTGTGTCACCGCATTCCAAACGACTAAAACAAAATAACTAAAGAAATCTCCACTGTGCTGAGCGAAATTGCTTACATCATCGAGGATGTCAGCGTGCACATACCCGAATGTAATGTTTGTGCGGGCCGTCGGGGGAGACAAGCATGCTTCAGCCTGGTTCAAATCAACTGTACATAGTGTGAGTACACCCTAAAACTCCGGTTTTAGCGTCCACATGACCAGACTGTTTGGACCACACGTGCGGACAAACAGCCAAACCGCAAAACCAAAAGTGCGGTTTTGAAAATACCCATGTTTCTGTGGACAGGGCCTAAATTGGCCAGCATTTAGCTTCATTGGCCTACCTCTTTATATCATGGTGTTTCTTTTTTACATAAACACTGGAATATTTCTAATAAACTACTAATGATTGCTCACTGACTGTATACATTTCTATATTCTCAGGGCTGGAAATCACAATCCTGAAAGCCCAATTTTTCCATGACTGCAGGAACTTTCATTTAGTGAAAAATGTTGGCTCTGTCACCTGTCCATGACTTTCCAAAGACGCTGCTTCAGTAAGATGGCCGTAGAGATTGTGGCGGTTTATGAAGCTACTCAGCCAGTCTCGACCTAAAAGAGTTAAACATTCAAGTTATCCAACACAGAATGGACTGAATTACCGAATTAAGCTGTCACAACCGAACCTACCTGCTAACCTCTGCTCTCCCCAATTGTTAGGGACAGGAATGTTGTGTTTTTGTGCAAATTCAAAAGCGATTTCTCTGCATTTCTTTGTTGCGAGGCCACGGACGCGTTCAGACATTATGCGGATGTTTTCTGCAAGCTCTTCCTCCAGTTCTTCAGAGAAGATCCTTTTGGCTTCTGCCGTTCCTCTGTAGCCCACAGTTCTCTCTCTTCTTTCTTCGGCCTTCTTCATGTATCTCTGCAGTGTGGATCTGCCGATCTTTCTTTCTTTCGCCACTGTTCGGATCGATTTCCCACGCTTCACCTCAACGAATGCTTTCTCCAGCTCCTCGTAGGTCACTGAGCCCCAGTCGGTTTTCCGAATGTAGTTTCGTGGCATGATAGTTGGCCTATAATGAGTGACAACAACATAAATTGGAGATTTAGATGAAGTTTATCAGTCCCTTAAAGAAAAAATATAGACATTTGAGACTTAAATGACTGATTTTGTTGCACGTTTTCTTGAATTATTATTGAACGTGGCAAATTTTTGTGATGTTTTTGAGAGACTAGTGATCTCTCATTAGTTAGCAGTGGTACTTTTACTTTTACTTGTACAGTGTGTACTTTTACTTTCCCTTGAGTGCATTTTTAGTGCTGTAATCAGTACTTTTACTCCACTACTTTTCTTCAACCTGCAGTCACTACTTTATTTTTTCTTGTCTATGGGGATTAGAAAAATCAGTCCTGTGATTCCTGTCCAATCAAATCACACATAGAAGGTAAATATATAATATAATATATGAATTGATGTTTTCTTAAAACTTATTATAATTATATATTTATATTGTTCAATTATAATGATTAAAAAAAAAATTTTTGTCAAATAATTTTGAATAAAAATCATGGAAGTTTCAGCATTTGATGCCAAACTGACGTTGGTTTAAGATGTTGGCTTGACATTGGATTTTGGTCACTTTCCAACACAACCTTAAGTCAACCAAATATCAGCGTCATTTGATGTTGTTATTGAACAAATACCGTTGTCCTTAGACGCTGGCTAGACATTGATTTTTAGTCACCTGACATCACAACCTAAATCTAACCTAATGTTAATGTCTTATGTCTTATGTTGTGTGCTTGCTGGGCAATAACTCGATGCACTACAGAGTGTTACGTTTACACACACATGCACAAATTACAGGTAAATGCATGTAACGCTTTTAAAAGCGTAATACTCACTACTCTTGAGTACTTTTAAAAGGTCTACTTTTTACTCATCCTCTGAGTAATATTTACAACAGATACTTTTACTCTACTTAAACTACATTTTTAGGCAAGTAATGGTACTTTTACTTAAGTATGATTTTCTGTACTTTTTCACCACTTTTAGCTATGTATCCATCCACTTATTTTTATGTGCATTTTGGATATGAGCATAAAAAACGATTGATGGTAACGCCAATATGTGCATAGATTTTGAAAATGCGCAAAAAAAAAACGTATGCGCATAACTGTGTAGGATAAACTTTTTATTCGATTAGACAAGATGCGCATAAACTACCATGAAAAGACTTTTTGTGAACAAATTCCAGTATGCGCATTTAAAAAAAGGCATGTGACTTCGTTAGAAGAGATCATGTGATGATAAAAATCACTTTGACTCGTTGGATGGAAACGCTGCTTTATTTGCACGTCTTTTATGCGACATTCTGGTTTTGCACATAAAGTTAATTTGCATTTTTGGATGGAAACATAGCTATTGTTATTCTCTAATTTTGATTGTGTTTTTCATAGTTCAACTAAAAGCATTTACAATTTTGTATAATAAAAATTACATTATTTTAGAAAAAAGTCAAATTTTAATCTCCACCATTTTAAGCAACGGTCTCAAACTCAATTGCTGGACGGTCGCAGCTCTGCACAGTTTAGCTCCAACCACTTCCAACTCACACCTGCTTAATAGTCTTCAGAAGTCTTGAACACCTTGATTAGTTGGATAAGCTGGATTTGATTAGGGTTGGAAAAAAAACAGCGCAGAGCTGCGGCCCTCCAGGAATTTAGTTTGAGACCTATGGTTTTAAGTAAGACTCTTAAAGGTGCAGTATGTAAAATTGACCCCCAGAACAGAACAGAAGAGAACAGAAGTGTGCCTAACTATCAAGCCTAAAGGCTGATTTAAACCATGTTCAACATTAAAGCAACGGCACACAATAGAAGAAATGTTTTCGTTATTAATATACATTTTTGTCCAAACCAACACCTGACATTTATATTTTAGAAATGGTTTATATTTCTTGCAGTTGAACAACTGATTACGATCACCTCAGGTGCACCTCATGTGCTTCATTTAGTGTTAAATGCTAAAAATGTGAGTTTGAATGCCATTTTACATGCCATTTATTGTCATACTACAGAAAGCAGCAGCAAATAGTTCACCTGAGATCTTAAATATAAAATAAACTGTTTGAAATTGAACTTTAGACCTGTGACTCAGTGCAAGCCAACACATATCAGTGATTCAAGATGTACTTTTAATAATGTTAAAAAGGTTTAATATGTATTAGTTAGATCAGTGGTTCTCAGACTTTTTTTCACCAAGTACCACCTCAGAAAAAAATTGTCTCTCCAAGTACCACCATAGGTTGGCTAAATTAAGTCATATTCATTCCACGAAAATATATTACATACAAAATATGAAGCTGATCAGACGTAACAAGAGAATACGGTCATTTTTTTAAATAAAAGATTTTTCAAAATAAATGATCGTTCAGACTCAGATTATAAATAAAAACGGAAACAAATAAGGATTTTTTAAGGATTCTCTAGCACATATCTGCTCTGCAAGCACCACTCTTTCACTAGTTCTGCGCCAGTTTCATTTATTTTTAGCAGCTGATGACGCGATGCACTGAAGTAAACATTCTAAGCACATCGCTTTGATCGTAGGCTTTAGAGAACAGCCAATGCTGATCACATTGGAGTTATCGTACGTATCAAATGATTAAAATTGTATTAATTATTTCTTTCATTACTCAATGATTCCTCCGCGTACCACTAGCGGTACACGTACCATCATAAACCTTACCATTTCATTGGAGTGCAGTGAGTGCACTAGTCTGGTGTAAACAGCCAAATTGCTTATTACTGCAAATCTTGTTACGTAGCGTGTTGTTAAGACACAGGGTTACAATGTAACCTGCTCACCTAATGTTTACATTCGTAATATTTATATTATTTGCTAATTAATAACCACCTCACGTTGAACTCTAAATCTGCGTCTCATTTCGGAGTCTGCTATTGTCCACCGGAGGTCACATTTCGGTTGTGAACACGTACATTAAAAGCCTTCCTGACTGAATGAATTTAAAACATGGTTTTCATCATGGAAGCTGAAACATATTTGGCTAAACTGGCAGCGGATGGCTTGAATGAGCAAAACAAAGACAGATGTTCCGGTATGTAACGCACATTTTCAAAGCAGAATATCTGACTTTAGCATTGTTATTCAGATAAACAAGAATACTCACCATGTTTCTTAAATATCTGCAAACATATTATGGAATTGTTATGCTTTAGAAGAGTCCAAAACTTACATACAGCACTTTTAAATGTATATTCTTATTTAGCAAGGACTAAATTGCAGTCAATACATTTAAACAACAACTTACCACTTATCCTTTGTGTTTCTTTCATTTACTGATAGCTGGATATGATACGCACTTCCATTATGTTTGCTCACATGACAAAGCCTTGATACAAGGGAAGGCGATTGTCTCAACTTCCTCACTGGTTCATCTTACCCCATGTCCATAGCATGTTTTACTGTCTAATGTGTCACCACAAGTGGAGCAACATAGTCTGACAGCCTCCTGTCCAGGATTTGTTTTCTGTAAGAAGAAAAAGTGTTTTTGTAGTAGCAGTCTTTATGAAGGTATATATGGTACATAAATTACAAAAATAAATTGTCAAACTGTCATAATTGTCTATATGGTCACTCAGGAAATATTGCAACTGTAACAACATGGTTTGAGGTAATACCAACATGAAATCTTCAGTTTGATGTTCACTATTATGTAGACATTCATGTTAGCTAGTTTCTCTGTACGTGCATTATTTATAATCTGGAAGATTAATAATAATTTATGGATGCAATAAATTATTTGGAAAATATTACATTCTTTTTATTATATTACATTCAATTCTATTATATATTATCTAATTGTTACGGCCCTAGTGATCCTGTCTAATGTTATCCAGTATCCACCAGATGAAGGTGTTCAGTGATCAGGGGCTTCATGTATCAACGCTGCGTACGCACAAAAACTTTGCGTACGCCAGGTTTCACGCTCAGAATCGCTCACGTTTGGATTTACTAACAATGAACTGAACGTGGGAATGTGCGCAGGTTCACGGCAGCTTTCTGGCAGGCGTACGCACATTTTTAGTGCGTGTCTGTTTTATTTCCATTGGCGACTCCTAGAGGCAGTTGTGTTAAATTCTTCTCTACAAAGTGTCTGATCCTTGCAATGGCAGCTGTATGAGACGGGTTCATATAGTAGGTATGTAAGATTTCCATACCATACAGTTGACCAGCTAAACATTAAAGCGCAAATTGCAGCAGTCGCAATGTAATCTGAGCAATCTACCGCACACACATTGCTATAAAGACACTATCTGAAGATGAATTTGCATGCGTGAATCAGAAACATTTCCATTCAATAAATGTGCAAATAAAATATGATTCACAAACTTATTGATGATTCCTACTTGTCTTTCTTTTGATAAATAGTGGGCAAAATCTGATATGTAGCGGGGGAAAAAAGAATAAAGAATTTATCAGACGCTGGATTCGAGCCGAATTGACGCTCGAATATGTCTGTACATGATCTCATGCTTCTTATGAGGTGCGCCACTGAGACTGCTTAAGGTACTGCAACATTTTTCAGTTATAAACTACACTATTTCTTCTTTAAATGCACTCAGTGTGATGTTCAGACCCAACTGTGTTAACCGTATCAGCTAAACTCCCACTCTATTTTTTTCTTTTGTTGTTAATTCCGGAGAACAAACTTGCAAATAACACCGCTTTTCTCCGGTCTACCTCCGAAAGCAGCACCTCCATTTCACATTCTGTTCAAAGTTTCTCTTTTTGCTTGATTTTGCCGTTGCTTTTTCGTTGGGTTTTGCCATTAGCATAGTCATTAGCATATTCATACGGGGGAGGAGGCAGGGAGGGGTTTTGTGCTCGTGCATGTTGCGCTCAGTTTCACGTTCATTCAGATGTACAAAAGAATATGCGTGAGATTCGGCGTACGCAGTGTTTCATACATCTGAATTTTTTTCTGCGTACGCACATTTACAGCTTTGTGCGTACGCAATGTTTTAGTAAGATTTCCACGCAAGTCTTCGTACATGAGGCCCCTGGGGCAACTGCCACAACTGCCTCTAGGAGTCGCCAATGGAAATAAAACAGACACGCACAAAAAATGTGCGTACGCCTGCCAGAAAGCTGCCGTGGACCTGCGCACATTCCCACGTTCAGTTCATTGTTAGTAAATCCAAACGTGAGCGATTCTGAGCGTGAAACCTGGCGTACGCAAAGTTTTTGTGCGTACGCAGCGTTGATACATGAGGCCCCTGGAGTTTTTCTACAGTGTTTTGAACCAGTGCATGGTGTTGCTTGTGATGTGCGTTTGGATGAAGACCCAGAGAACTGGACTGCATTAGGGCATGGGCTGATATAAGATTCTGACGGTATGATAACCTTGGATAAAACGATTACGTTTTCACAGTTTTACGATATTGTGACTACTGCTCTAAAATTTGTTCTTTTAAAATATCTGGGTAAAAAAACTAAAACTTTTCCTATTTGCAAAAGAGGATTTTTCATTTTGGAAAATGATTAAATCATTTATTTTAATTAAAAGATATGGAGATACTGCTTACCAGTGCAACCTGTCTCTTTCCTGCTCTCAGTAATGCAAACGTGTGAATAAATGTGTAAAAATACATGCGTGTTAACTGTCATTTTAATGTGATCATGTGTTTTTTCGTCGTTTTTTTCTTCGTCTGAACACATTTAACTCTGTCATAACTGTAATATTTACACTCCTCCCTAAAATGTATAGCAGATGTGACCGTATGGGCTGCTTTTCGCTGTACTTAGTGACAAAAACGAATATTAAATGTTGTTCTGTGTCCATGATGGAGCTTGCAGGCATTTGATAGACTTGTCCCTCATGCTTCCTTTCTGTCATCTGTTAGGTAAGCAGGCTGTGTGCACGCGCACTATACACTTATTTAAACATGTCTTATGATAATAGTATGTAAGCACATTTATACATAGCTTTTACAACAACCGTAAAGCAAAACAGATGTATTTCCCATGTAAAAACGGTCCAAAAGGCACGTAGGTCTATGTGTTTTTACGTATTTATTTGTTTATAATATATAGCGTGGATTATAATATAATAAACAGAGAGATTACCTCTTTGTCATGGACATTATTTCTAAAAATAAGCTTGAAAATGTGTCTGTAGCGGGGTGGTGCTGGCGTGCGAGCGCCTCGAAGGCACTGTAGTCCGTTTATAGCCTAATGTTAGCTTTTCAGTTCTTGCGTTTTCATTTAAGATCTATAAGTGCTCAAAGTTGTATTTTCGTGTGAGGATTATCCGGCTGGACAAAGCGTGTAAGTGTGAACAGTGTTTGAACACAGAGCTTATTATTTGCAGACTTCAAAAAGCCTATGGGAAAATCCTAAAGGGATTTTATTGAGGGAACCAGTTTTATGCTAGCAGCCGATTAGCCTACAAGGTGACGTCATAGTTCCTCCACTCTATTGAGAAAATAGATGTGTTTATGTGCTTTATGAAGGCTGAAAAACAGCGTTGATACGTTTGGAGCCGTGTCTGAGTCCACTAGACCCATTCAGAGGTACACCCAGCTCTGTGAGCTCATAAACTCCTCCTGAAACTTAACCTGAATGATGGAAGCTTTCAGCTGTGCTTTTGACTGAGCCGAGTCCAGCTTGATAAACTGATGTAGGTGTCAGCAGGAGGATTTTTTCCCCGGACACCAACAACAGGCGCTACATTATAAACACGCTCCTACAAGAGAAAGCACCTGATTGGTTAACTTGGCTCAAATGTCTGCTGAAGTTCAGATTTTCGAACTCGAGAGAATTACACGTAACGCGTGTTAAGCACCTTAATTGCCCAAAAGTGCACAACTCATGCAATTTCATTCACGCAAATTGCGCTCAGAATGTCTATTCGCGCCTTTGCATTGACTTAACATGTAAAACACTCTCGCTTAACGCTTCTTCCGTGTCTGGTGTGAACGCAGCATAAGACTGCCTTTTTCAGAGCCACTTCTTTTGACATCTTCAATTTATCAGAGATGTTAGCCCTGTTTTTAATCTGCCGCTATTCTGAGCCAGGGATGTTTGTAGCTCCGCCCCCCTCTATCGCATTTGAATTTAAAGTGAAAGTCACCAAAATGGCACAATTTGGCTCAAAGCCTAACGCCCTATTCACACGGGGCTTCAGCGTCAACGCTTGACAGAGGGCGTGTCTGAAGTTGGAGCTGAAACGATCGTCATAGAAGCGTCAGCCAATGAAATTCAGTCAGCAATAGGCCACTGTCTGAGCTGGTGTATTTGCATACAGCGATCTGATTGGCTGACGCTTCCGTCGCCGCTTGAAAAGTTAAGCTGGTCCCAACTTCTGCAGCGAGGAACGCTTCTGAAGCGGCGCCGACGGATCCACAATGCAGTTCGGCAACGCCTGACGTCATCCATTCAAAGTGAATGGGAAGCGTTGACGCTGACGCCCCGTGTGAATAGGGCGTAAGAGGGGCAGTTTCAAAGAGTTATAAAACATAATTTGTGTGGTATTTTGTGTTGAAACTTCACATGCTCACTCTAAGAGACTTATTTTACATCTTGTAAAAAGGGGCAATAGGTCTCCTTTAAGTATTTGTTATTACAAAATCCCCCAAAGGCAGGTATTTAAATTAACAGGGAACATGAATACGGCACTGGACTAAGATATAAACATTTGAAACTGTCACAGTACCATGGTATTGGCAAAATACTGCACGTAAAGAAATGGATGCACTGCCAATTTGTCTATAATACACTCACTGTGTGAATATTATGTCATTTAATGTGATATGCTAGTTTTACGTATCGTTAACAGAATATTTCTATACATACAGTGCTAAAGGATATAAAGCTGCTTAAAACATGTAACTGAGATTCGAGGAGCTCAAACACACACACACACACACACGCAACCGCCGCCACAAAACCAAAACACACTTACAGACAGTAATGTCCTTCCGCCGGAATCTGTCGCCTCAGGGAGGAGGGAGTTGTTGCCGGAAGTCGTCACCGAAGTGGGCGGGGCTTATTGTGCCACGTTGATGGACAGCAGTGGGGACGTGGAATTGTGTCCATCTGCAGCCGGGCAAATCTCATACATTACGCACAAACCTCTCGGAGATCATAAAGTTAAACTGTTAATTCACTTTAACGCGCGTGTTTGTGCGTGGATGAATCTGTGCATGACTGCTGGAAACACGACAAGACAAGGTAAACACTTTTAAAAGTGAGAAAATCCTTCAATGATAGCTGCATTAGCCTCTCTGCTACAGTATTATCTGTTTTAAATGGACATTACCTCTAAAGACTGCACATCTCTTTCACCAGAACATGTCTGTTGGGAAAATCATATCTGTTATTATTCATAGCTGTGGTTTATTATGAAGTCCCGGTTAATCTTGGTCATGTTTGATTGTACAGTAACCTACAAGCTGTATTGTGTTATTATGTATCTGAAGAGTTAATTATTTATCCTCAGTTGAATATTGTTTAGATTTGTTTGTTTTTCGTGGCTTACTATTGTTTGACATTATGTTTTATTTTCAATGGAATTGCTTGTTTCGTTGTGTATTCAGGAGATCACAAGGGTCATAGCAGAACAATTGATAACAGTATTTAGGGAAGACACTAAAATTACATATTAAGGTGAAGTTGGCTTTACATTCAGATATTCAGACATTCTCCTCAATAAAATAATATCAGAAAAACATTCTTTGCAAATTTTAAATAGTGAAATCTTATTAGCAGCCAATGATGATCAAAGTACAGCATTGTTTACAGTCTATTAGATGGTGCTAATGTTGTTTTAAAGTCATACTTGCGTTATAATTCTGATTGAATATTCAAATTAGTGTGGTAAAAAATATAGAGTCAGTAAAATGAACGAATTACATTACATTACATTACAATTAAGCTAAAGTTGGTTTATATTCACACATTTGGAAAGTATTCTTTGCAGATATAGGGAAATCACATTAGCAGCTAATGACTATTCAAATATAACACTTACTGTTGTGCACTACTCAGTTAAATAGTGCTAATTAGGGATGCTCCGATCAGGATTTTTTGGAGCCGATACCGAATACCGATTCCTCTTCATGGTGATCAGCCGATAGAGAGTACTAATTCTAATACTTTGAGCTTTATACATTTACACTGCATAAATCACATCTCCCTCTAAGCATTATACTTAATCAGGGGTGATTTTAGGATATTAATTTTATTATTACATATTATTAAATAAATTAGGAAGGACCCATGGCAGCTATATTTACCTTCGGTTCCCTAGCCTCTATCTAGTTTGGTTTTTGGCCCTTCATAACAAAAAGTTTGGGAGACATTGGCTGTAAATGGAGACAAGTGTTAAAATAATCATAGCATATGACATATCCAATGATTAGAATTCTCTTCCTCATTTTAGGATGAAGCTGAAAGAAATTAACCGAACTGCTATCCAGGCCTGGAGTCCGGCTCAGCAGCACCCCATCTATCTGGCAGCAGGTAACCGGAATCAGTCACTGAATTAATTCCTTCAGACGTTGCCAAGCTCTTCCAATTAGACACAGTACAGATGACATGAGAAATTTCACGCTCATTAGCTTTAAGCAGTGAAAGATTGTACAAATATGCCATTTTATAAAACAGAACACCTGATATGGAAGTGGGTAAAGAACATTTAGACATAATCATCTTTAATTCTTTGACATGTTAAGCTTAAACTCTGCATGAAATCAACATTTACTGGTTTTTTTTTTGGTAGTGCAGTCTTAGTTATTTACAGTTATTCTGTAAATAAAGTTCAAGTTCAAGTTGATTCACTGTATTCAATGGTTTGTTTTGGTAGTCTTTAATCCAGTGGTTCTCAAACTGTGGTACGTGTACCACTAGTGGTACGCAGGCTTCCTTCTAGTGGTACGCAGAGTAATCCAATATCAATGTCATATGTACATGCAACATATATTTCAAAATTGATCAAAAATGGTTCATATATGAATATGATGACATATAGCCTATATTTATGAGGTCCAAGCAACATTTCCAGGTTTTTATTTATTTATTTTTTTACATATAAGCACAGTACAGTGTTAATGTTCAAACTATTTATAATGTTTAAAGTGGCTGATAATAATAAAAATTCTTAATAATAGTAGTTAATCTGTCACGATTTTAAACTGCAGAGTTGTAGCTGCCTTACTGGGCCTACTACGCTACTGTATTTCAATACTGGTCATTATGGTGGTACTTGGAGGGACAATTTTTTTCTGAGGTGGTACTTGGTGAAAAAATTTTGAGAACCACTGCTTTAATCAAAATCGAACAATGTTTTTGAACATTTCTCCAACTATAATTTTTTACAAAGGAGCTGTTGTGAGTGTTTTCACTAATGGCATCTCCCTTTGGTATGAGAATAGCAGTGTATCTGACAAGAACACCATTAAGAGGATCATAAAGTCAGCTGAAAGGTGTGTTGGAGTCAGAATGACATCTATCGAGGAACTATCTGTCTTGGGCAAATAGCATTTTAAGGGATCCAACCCACCCTGGCCATAGCCTGCTTACTCTTATGCCATCAGGCAGACGTTACAGAAGCCTGAGGAGCAAATCAGTGCGGTTTCTTGACAGTTTTTATCCTGTCATTATAAGACTTTTGAATAATACCACTTTTTAAACATTGTTGATAGCTAGTGTGAAAATAATAAATTAATAAAGAAATTGGTAATATTAAAACAAATGGTAAAATAGGTATTTAATTATTAAGATATTCTCTTCAGAGATTTTTTAAAATAGGTTATATCTTATATAACTATATTTTTATGGAATTATAAAAGCTTTTGTATCATGCTAGGATTTTAAAGTGATGTTTTTTTATGTTCTTGCTGGGTCTGTTGCAACGTAATTTCGTTCTGCATTGCAATTCCATTGTGATGTTTGGAATGACTTGCGTTGCATTTGAAGATTCGTAAGAATAGAGTGGTTCATTACAATTGCTCACCTACTTGTTCAGTGCTGGTTTTTTATACATTTTTATCATAGGAGTTTTAAAAAAGGTATGTGAAAGTTATTCACCAAACCATCCGGCTAATGATGTAAAAATATATATAAATAAAAATTTAACTGAGAGATAAAGGTATAAGACTGAAAAACAATCCAGTGAAGCACTGTTAAATGACATGCTTACATTTTCAGAAATTCACTATTTATTTAATGCCATTTATATATATATATATATATATATATATATATATATATATATATATATATATATATATATATATATATATATATATGCAATATACCTGATTGTTTGTGTAAAAATATATCATTTTTTAAATAGCCATGAAACCATATAAGTATGGTTATTGCTGGTTTTATCTGTTGGGAAGAGGTAAAATTTGAAATTTTTACTGTTGATCATCAGTTGCAGTGCAAAAAAAAGCTTAGTTACTGGCTTAAAATTATATGGTTATATAGAGTTGTGTGTGTTTGTAAGTACGTGTTTTTCTGACATGTCAGGACACAAATCTGTATAATGACATGGGTATGACACAGGTATTACAAAAAAGAGGTGAAAAAATGAGGACATTGCTGACATCCTCATTTCTTAAAAAGCTTATAAATCACACAGAATGAGTTTTTTTCAGGGAGTAAACCAGTACACAGTCTCCTGTGATGGTTGGGTTTAGGGGTAGGTTGGGGTGAGGGCAAAACAATATATGGTTTGTACAGTATAAAATGAATCAAAACCTATGTAATGTACCCACTTTTCACAAAAACAAACGTGTGTGTGTGTGTGTGTGTGTGTGTGTGTGTGTGTGTGTGTGTGTGTGTGTGTGTGTGTGTGTGTGTGTGTGTGTGTGTGTGTGTGTGTGTGTGTGTGTGTGTGTGTGTGTGTGTGTGTGTGTGTGTGTGTGTGTGTGTGTGTGTGAGATCTTAGCGCAGTTACCTTGATATGTTTGCAGTAATAAGCAGCTCACCTCTCAGAACCGCTCTGAGTAAACAAAGTAAGCTTATTTATGCGCGCATACTCTAATATGTCGTTGCAGGGCAATCTAAAGGGTTAATGCTGCCAACTGATGATCAACAGTAAAAATGAAAGGTTTTACGTCTTCCTGACAGGGAAAACCTGCAACAATAAAGAATGCATGATTATGTGGTATCATGGCTTTGCAATCAACAAATGTCATTATAATTGATGTCAATGGTGCAAAAACAGCCACAGACATAATGAACGGGTTGTAAATTTGAAAAGTACATAAGGATCAAAAAACTGGGTGAGCTTTGAAGTTCATGATAATTTTTCTTTTAAATATTTACTTAAGGTAAAAAGAGATTTTGCTTCCATAACCCGTTTGAATGACAAATACCTGGTTAAAACGCAAAACCTCTGTAATTTAATCTAACGCTTATTATTGGTTCAGGTACCTCGGCACAGCAGCTCGATGCCACCTTCAGCACTAATGCATCACTGGAGATCTTTGAATTGGATCTGGCGGATTCTGCTTTGGCCATGAAGTCATGTGGATCTTTCTCTTCTCCACACAGGTACTGAGTTTGGCTAGCATAATGTGCTAATGGTTTACAGTTTCAGGCAAAGGAACTGTTCTGAACTGTTTTATCAGTTAAAAACGCTAAAAGTAATGTTTTTTTCTAGTTAATCACTGACAAGTGGAAAAGTGCTAAAACCCTCAAAGACCTCTGAAAATTCAGAATTTTATTTTTGAAAAAAAAAAACATCTGTTGAAACTTGCTAGCTGAGTGTTAATTTATGCTGGAAACATGCTAGCAACCTACTTAAAACATACTGTTAACACATTGTGTTTTAATATCCTCTTAGCGACATGCTGAAAGTTTTATAAGTGTGCTATATACAACAGTGTGCTAGCTGTGGGTTTACTTGTGCTACGGTGTGTTAAATTGTTTACACATTGATTTTAGGAGTTGTAATCTCTCACTGAAGTAGCAGAACGCTAAATAAAA